CATATGCCACGCCCCTTTTCCCAATTTGGGAAAACTCCACATAAAATATCTGCATGATGGCCCGAATATGCCGCATAAATTTGGTTGAATTCGGTGAAGCCGTTCTAAAGTTATATTGTCACACCAAAAACGTTCACTTATTTTTATATTTTGTTAGTATGGGTGGTGCCACGCCCCCTCTTCCGAATTCGGGAAAACTTCGCATAAACCATCTGCATGATAAATCCAATATGCCACATAAATTTGGTTGAATTCGGTGAAGCTGTTTTCAAGTTATGAGGTCACACCAAAAACGTGCACTTATTTTTATATATAAGATGTAGGTAAAAAAATTTAGCTACCATTTTTAGCCACAACGACGATTTTTAGCTCTTTTTTAGCCCTTTTTTAGCTGGAATTTAGCTACCACTAAAAATGTTTCGCGGCAACACTGCATAGCACACACTTTTATTTCTCTACCTAGCGCAGTGATCGACATGCCATAGCTTACTGAGCGCTCTGTGACACACGCATGTCTCACCCATATACAAACAGCGGTAGCGGAGCAATGATTTCCACGCACACAGTGTCATTCATTGAATGCCTCAACTTAGATTTGGTAAGTATGACTAAACCATATGTTGAAAGAAAGCTTGTATGTATTAGCAGAGCTTAATGACATCCTTTTATGAACGATACGTTAAGTTGAATGGAATTTGTAGAAATATGCTTCAAAAAAATATTTATTAGTATTTACCAAACCCTTCAACTAAATTAACGATTTGGTGCAACCTAGATGAATATTAGAAGCTTTAATATATCTTCTATATATATAAAATAATAGCCGTTTTCGTTGTTCGTAGTTAACTCAAAAGCTACTGCATAGATTTCAGTAAAATTTTCAGAGGTTAGAACTTGCATATATGGTCCTATTATAGGCTACCAGAAAACTCGCTAGATGCCGCTGGGATCGAGTTATTAATAAAAATCGTATTTGTGAACCGATTTCTTTTAAATTCAAAATGTAAGCTACCAGCATGATGTCAAAAACGTTTACCAAAAATAGACCTGCTAGGTAGCGCGAGAGTCGAGTTATTTATAAAAGTCGTATTTATGATACGATTTCTTTCAAATACAACAGGTATAGTTTCAGCATAATGGAAAATACGTTTACCGAAAACGGAGTCGCTAGGTGGCGCGGGAGGCGAGTTATTTATAAAAGTTGTATTTAAGAACCGATTTCATAAGCATGAGGAAAAAAGCACTTGAGAAAAACGGACCCGCTAGGTGGTGCTGCAGTCGAGTTATTTATAAAAGCCGTATTTATGAACCTATTTTATTAATACACATTCGAAACGTTTATTACTTTCATAATGATTTTTTTCATTCAAACATATCTCGAGTTTCATCTTCCCTGAACCGGTTCACTTTTCGCTTTTGGTTTCCATGGGGGGAATCAAAATTTTCGCGTGAATTTTACTCGGGCAAAACTCAGGATAAGGAAGATTACATACATAAAATGATAGCCATTTCCGTTTTTCGGACTAAACTCAAAAACCACTCAATAGAGCCCAGTCAAATTGTCGCAGGTCCTATTATAGGCTACTAGAAAACACGCTGGTGGCGCTGGAGTAGAGTTACTTATAAAAGTCGTATTTATTAACAGATTTCGTTCAAATACGCAGCGTGACTACCTGTATGAAGAAAAATTCCTTTGCTAAAAATGGACCCGCTGGAGTTTAGGTATTTAGAAAATCCGTATCTTTTATAAAATCTGATTGGAATTCATAATGCGTATTTATTTCATGACAAGCAAAGGTTTTGCAGAAAAGGCACCCAATGGATGGCGCTGCACCTGAAATATATAGAAACCCCCACGGGGTTTGCTCTGTTTTGGCCCTATGTTTATCTTAAACGTATTTACTTTTCAGATGGCTAAATCAAGGGTGCGTTTAACTATGCATATAAAGACCGTAACACTGTGTAAGCGTGATCTTGCATCTACCTCCGATTGACGAAGTTGCTCGAGGCGGCCGTTATTACAGCAGTAGGACTCAAAGATTCGACCACATATGTCCAAGAAGGAAAACGATAGGTATATCAATGGCTTCATTTGAACGATATTCAAGAGATCACACGACTCATTTANGCGTAAGCGTGATCTTGCCTCTACCTCCGATTGACGAAGTTGCTCGAGGCGGCCGTTATTACAGCAGTANCTCTGTTTTGGCCCTATGTTTATCTTAAACGTATTTACTTTTCAGATGGCTAAATCAAGGGTGCGTTTAACTATGCATATAAAGACCGTAACACTGTGTAAGCGTGATCTTGCATCTACCTCCGATTGACGAAGTTGCTCGAGGCGGCCGTTATTACAGCAGTAGGACTCAAAGATTCGACCACATATGTCCAAGAAGGAAAACGATAGGTATATCAATGGCTTCATTTGAACGATATTCAAGAGATCACACGACTCATTTAGCCAATGTACGCGAAAACTTTTCATCCTGTGGGGCAGCGAGGATTCTTGGCCTTCCTATAATTGAAAACGCTCATCTATGCTCTTGAGTTTCCGTATAAGGACTTTTATTGGTTTACATGGTACATCGGACCAATGCTGAAGTTACAGGATCATAGAAAAATATTAGGCACGCTTGGCAGAGATCTCAGGCAGAGAGAGGTGGAAATAAGACCATAGGTATTACATAGAAAGGGATTAGTATTCCATATGAAATCACAGCGCCACTATTCTTGGCATATGTGTGGGGAGGATTCCGCTTTTTAGTCGTTTCAATTTAAACTAAAAATGTTTACTGTACAGACTGCTTTTGCTCTTAAACGCTATTTTTGAATTGGCCAACGCAAAAGATCTTATTAGGCGCCGCGAAGCAAGCGGGCATTTTCTAGTTTAATTATAATTACCAACCCATGGTAATAGTTCCCAATCCTTGGTAACAGTTCCCAAATATTGTCAAAATTCAGAACTAAATATCTTTACTTGTCGAAACTAATCCTTTTTCTCAGTGTAGTATGGTAAGTAATTTGCTATCAAAGGCGGGGCGAAAGTCATCCATTACCTTTATTATTGCTGTTGAACAACTGTGATTACATCTAAAGCCAGATTCAACCTCACTTAAAAGGTTATTTTCATTCATTAGGGATGCCAAAATATCAAGAAAATTGGGATCCCGAGATTTCGGGATATTTTTTAGGTAATCCCGGGATCCCGGCATTTATCCCGGTATTCAAATTGAGTCATAGGCCCCTATTATGAGTTGCATTCGATTTTCGACTGTGGTCGAAAGTGCTGAGCGAACGAATTTGCATTTGGTATTATGGCACTCATTCGATGAAGAATAGCGCTATTGTGAATTTCGCTCGTTTAGGTTGTTCACAATAGTATATTTTTCACATATTTATGTAAATTTGTTCTAATTAAAATGAAGTAAAAAAGAAAGCAAGTTTATAAAAACGTGGTAAAATGAGTACAACGAGTTCTGGTTCAACGATTCGTCAGAGGATGAGAGCTTAGTAAACTGGCCAGGNGTATGGAGTTTTGCTTTGCTTTAAACAGGCAAAGTGTTGTATTCAAAGTTTTGCGAAATACTTGAAGAAAATGGCTATACGAAGTTTTTTCCTCTCCTGTACAATTTTTAAATTGGTACTTAGCAACTTTGCACTCTACGCTAGCGATATTTGTTAAATCAGAGAAATTTTAATATAAAACATTTTTTTAATTGTATAAACCATGTGATTAAGGAACGTATACATCACAAATAATAATGTAAATACCAGGTACTTTTGAAATTTCTCTAAACATGTTTATTCTACTCTATAAAGAAATGGCGAATGGAGAATTTTTTGCCATTTTTTTTTTGCATTTCACTAGAAATTTTGAGGGTGTACGAGTCAAACGGATCTCAGAATCGGATTCAGCGGTTCGAAATACATGTTGGTAGTTGGATCTGGTTAAAACATACACCCCTTTTTGTGCCGGTGTTGTTATTATTGCACTTAAAATTTTTTTGTAAGAGCAGCAAAGCATTCAAATCGGAGTCTTCTAAGCTAGACCTGCAGTTTTTACATACAAAACCTACTGATCAAAAACATATTTCGGCATCAACACTTTTAGGCTGAACTGTCAAAAGGTAGACATAATCCATTTGAAGATAATGACCCCTATCTCCACCATTACAAAATATTTGAACGTCTTTTACCAGCACGTTGGTTAAATTATAAGTTTTTTGATTTGAGGAAGTTTTGAGTAGATTGATCTAAAAAATTATCTAACTTTTCCTTAAAACTCTCTGTTCGTTTACATTAGCGACGCTATGAGTAAGTTCAAAATCTTCTTCAAAAAAGGCTCAGACTACAATTTAAAAGTACAGTTTCAAGCATTTTGTTAATTGCAGTCAAAACGGCATTTTACAAATATCATATTTCAAAATTCATAAACAAATTCTTACTATCAATTTGATATTTCAAAATTTTCGGGACTAATGCAAGCAAATCCCGGGATTCCCGGGACGTCAAAAACACCGGGATCCCAGGATCCCGGAATTGGCATCCCTAATTCAGATGCAAGACTATTTGTTTAGAGATACATTTTTCAAAGACTTGATAGTGCCGACACAACACTGATGGGTCTATAGTCATAAATTTTACTTTTAGGAATCGGAATAACATTTGCCACTTTCCATTTGTTTGGGAATGTAGAAGAGGTTATAATAAAATTTATTATGTTTGTGAGCGAGGGAAGGACGTAGAGAAGAATCAGTTTTAAAAATCACAAGCTAATACCATCCACACCAATGGAATTCGATTTTATGGCATGGATACTCCTTACAACTTCATCTTCAGTGACTATGTACATCACACGTAAATTCAGAACCCGATTTCGAGATAAGATGCTGATTTATCACATACGACGAAGGATTTGTTTGCTTATTTATCCCAATAAAATAGGAGTTCATCACATTGGCATCAACGGAACAGGTTTTTTTATCCTTATCGCAGACTCCCATTGATTTAATATTTTTCCACAAAGCGTATTTTTTTGATTGATGTAGTTTTGTTGTTACTTTATTCCAAAGTTCATCCGTAGGATTCCGCTTCCAATATCTATAAGCAGTGTTTCGCTCTTTTATAAGGTCTAGAATGGTTTTAGTAAACTAAGGCTTTCTTTTGAGGCATTTCATGTCACGGCGGCCACCTCTGTGCGCGACCTCTCAGGATTTGGATGAAAGTTGAAGAGATTGAAGGTCTAGGTGACATGAATATACGTGCAGCATATTTTGCCGATATGACGTAGGGTTGTCTATTTACACGAGACTTAAATTTTAAGAAAAAGTCATACATACTTTTCTTTAAAGTGCTGTATCTTGGAAACCTTTTAACGAAACTTAATGAAAAAAAATTATTTCTTCTGTCAACGCGCTTTTATTACAATAAGAATTAAAAAGAAAAAAATTATTTATTGATTTAAAGATTCGTCAAATGAGGATATGAAGCTCCCTAACTTGATGTTATTTAACCTTTTAAACTAGCTTAAAATAGGATTAAAGTAATTGGCCAGTAGTCATAGTCGAAATAAAGTCCACTGAAAAGTTAGTTACAGTTATNTTATTTCTTCCGTCAACGCGCTTTTATTACAATAAGAATTAAAAAGAAAAAAATTATTTATTGATTTAAAGATTCGTCAAATGAGGATATGAAGCTCCCTAACTTGATGTTATTTAACCTTTTAAACTAGCTTAAAATAGGATTAAAGTAATTGGCCAGTAGTCATAGTCGAAATAAAGTCCACTGAAAAGTTAGTTACAGTTATTTTTTACAGGAATTTGTTGTAACATCAGGTTTTGAAGACTTGCTCTAGCTGCTAGTCTCTTAAAATTTCCTCCAATCACGTCGTAGGCAGATTTCCCATGTGAACTTGCAACAAAGTTCAATTCTGCCATTTCCTTGAAGGGATTTTCATGATTCCAGACCTTTAGTAAAGTTAACATGATTTATTCATATTGTTTTTGTTTTTTTGCACACCCTTCCTCTCTCAAAAATATACAATTTCACAAAATTTCAATGCCTATTTATCATATTGTTCGAGCGTTAGACGATCATTTGGGTACTTAAAGTTTATATTACAGACAATGTTTTTATGTAAAAATCAAATTTTTTAAAAATTCTGTAATCAAAAAGGAAAATGTTTACTTATTTTTTTTTTGTTTTTTTTATACGTTGCACATTAAGGTAAAAAATTTACAATTAAAACCCATAATAAGACGGGATAAATACTTTTTTTCATTAAGTTTCGTTAAAAGGTTTCCAAGATACAGCACTTTAAAGAAAGGTGTGTGTTCAGCCAAACTCAAGCAAAATGCTTCTCACTGCGGTAAAAATGTAACTGACTCCACATTCTGTGGAGCGTTTATTTATAATACAATTATTAATTCTAGGTTACATGTACATGTAGTATGTATGTATGTTTGTGTATGTATATATATATATATATTTGTATTTACATTTCTATTTGTTACTGATAACTATGAGAACCTAACCCATGCGACTCAATCGCAGTATCGCTTGGGTGCATAATGCGTTTATGTACATAACATAAAATGTCAAGTGCGTGTGTGTAAGTAAAATATTACTTCAGATGCAAAGTCCATATACTGTGACCTTTGCGCTCTTCCAGACAAACACTTGAATGATTTTAGTTACATACACAATATGCATAGCACATCTGCTTGTATATATGTAGCTGAATAAATACAAGATTCAACATACTGCCCGCGTTGAAAGGCTTAAATCTTTCAACAATGAATTTCAGAAAATTATTTAATTAGTAACAAACCAAAATGCATTACTTAACTTAAGATGTGTTGAAAAGACCCCGATGCAAAAAAAATTTAAAGGTAAACATATGTATTTTGTGGTTGAAAGAAGTTCATATGTATGTACATGTTTTAATCTCGTACAATTAAAGCAGAAAGTAGGAGTTTTTAATACATATTCATTTACTTATGTTAAACTAAAAAAATATCTTAAGTTATGCACGGGAGAACAATCATGTTGGGTATACGCGTTGATGATATTCGCCACAGCTTTTTGGCGATGATTATAACAGCTGCAATAACGACGGCAATTAGGATCCAAGATAGGGTGCTCGAAGTGTACTGCATCAAGTGATGGAATTCAAAGTCGACTGGGAATCCCATTACTCCTCGCGATCTTGGGATATTTTCTATTTTATAGGCCTCCATTTTTCTTCTTATTTGCAGTTTCTCAAAACCTGGTAATTGTTGAGATAAATTAACGTTTGGTATAAAATAGGTTGTATTTGATGTGTACATTTCGTATGCCCATATATTTATGTTCGTAGTCCTTAAGTAGCAATTTGGTTNTAGGACTCCATTTTTCTTCTTATTTGCAGTTTCTCAAAACCTGGTAATTGTTGAGATAAATTAACGTTTGGTATAAAATAGGTTGTATTTGATGTGTACATTTCGTATGCCCATATATTTATGTTCGTAGTCCTTAAGTAGCAATTTGGTTTCAAACGTAAAATCCCTTCGCCATTTATATTAACTTTTGATCTCTGGCCATTGCATGCAACTTCAGCTGAAACTTCATTAGCTATTAAATACAACCATGTGTTTTCGGAATGCATTTGACTCCAATAATCTTTTCGTGGCAGAATATTCAGTATGCAGGTTTTAGCAACTTCTCGTTGGTTTGTGAATAGCTGTACTACACACTCGGCATCACAGGATGTATTTGCGGACATAATATCAATTTCGCCATTTTCTCGCAATGATCGAAACTACTATCTGCTAACTCATAGTACATCGATTTTCTATCGTCGATAATAATGTACTTAAACGCAGTTTGAATATTCACGAAACATTCAGAATGGCTTACTGGGTATGTCAATATTGAATACAGTTGCAGGCTTTCTTTGTTCAATAGCGGAATTCTAATGTTGAATATTAGCGTTTTTTCTGTCGTTCTAGTGCTTGTTCTTGCTATTTTCGCCAGCTCAATTGGGTCCGTTTCTGGAAGCATCAAATGTTGATTTAATTGAGTTTTAATCAACGTTATCTGCTCTTGAAATTTATGTAGCGGTAATACATTTTCAAAAAAAATTTCCTTTGGAACTCCAAATCATTCCAATAATATCTTGCTGCAGCTCTTTAAAGGACGAGATAGCAATTAATGCAGTAGTTATCACGCTCATAGTTGTTTCTTGATCTATGTTCTTGTTTATTGCGTTTTTAAACGTGTGAATGGAATTGTTAAGGAATTTAAAATTTTTCCAAATCACTTCGTTTTCTTGTTTCATTACATCCACGGTCCTGTCTTGAATCGATGACTGATTTAGGTAAAGCTCAGCTAAATATTTTTCATTTTGGTAGCTTTTTTCGATTTTCTGCGATAGCTCCTCAGCGTGATCTTCATCCAATACCCCATATAAAGCGTGCATCATGCTTGCAATAAAGGACAACGGTGCTGATCTTTGCAGTGTCTGCAATCAAGATCAAGGAATTAAAGGCCTTGAATTCAGTATTGCCTCGATTTGTGTCATCAGGGTATTTAACTCTTCGAATGTTATTGTGCCTTCGGTTACTCTAAAGAAGTGCCTTTTCACGCTATTCACCGCGGCTTCCCATAATCCGCCCATTTGTGGCGATTTAGCCGGTATATTTATCCATTTAATCTGCCTTTCTCCACAAAACCTTTCTAATTCCTCGGTATGAGTTTTATTTATAAACATTTTATAAATTTCGTTTAGACTATTTGCTATCCAATGAAATTGGTGCCGTTATCTAAATATATTTTTATTGGGCAACTTTGCCTGGCTACAAAACGCTTCAAGGCACCTAAAACTGCTGCAGAGCTAAGGTCCGATGCGACTTTCAAATGTACTGCTTTTGTTGCAAAACAAACAAATACACATATATAGGATTTGTCGAACCTTTTCCCTCTAATTTTATGGTGAATCTGTATTGGGCCTAGGAAGTAAATTCCTAAATTTAAAAATGGCCCAGTTTTAATTACCCTGTCTTCTGGTAAATTTCGCATCAATTGGTGTAGTGCTCTTGGTTCAACCTTAAAACATTCGTAGCACACCCTTACTATTTTTGTAGTTAATTGTTTACCACGCAATGGCCAGTATTTTTGCCTTATAATTGCTAGAAATCCCTGAGGTCCTACATGTAAATGTTTAATATGAAGGCCTTTTATCATCATATCTACATATTTGTCTCCATACGGAAGGAGAATCGGATCCTTTGCTCCAAAAGACATCTTGCTGTTTTCTATTCTACCTCCTACTCTTATTAATCCGTCATTATCTAGGAAATGTTAAAAATGTTTACCTTGGACATTTTTAATAATTACGTTTAAGGCTATTTTTCTATATTCTCCCCAGGAAAGCAACTCTGTTTTCTTGCAGAGTTGAGTAAATTTGTAAATCTGAGCAATTACATTCTGAAGATAATTGAAATCACTTATATGATTTATTTTGTCCCNTAACCTAAAACGTAACCACTATTTTCCGAGCAAAACATAAAACTTAAAACGTAACGATTATTTTCCGAGCAAAAAATAAAACTCAAAACATAACGATTATTTTCTGTGTAAAAAATAAAACTCAAAATATAATGATTAAACTTGATTTTTATAAGTAAAAATAAAAATCCGTGCCGTGAAGGTTTTCCGAGTAATAAGAAATATATTTGTTTACTCCTTATGCACGTAGCATTTCTCTTTCANTGTTAAAAATGTTTACCTTGGACATTTTTAATAATTACGTTTAAGGCTATTTTTCTATATTCTCCCCAGGAAAGCAACTCTGTTTTCTTGCAGAGTTGAGTAAATTTGTAAATCTGAGCAATTACATTCTGAAGATAATTGAAATCACTTATATGATTTATTTTGTCCCACAGGGAATCTTTGTTTATTAGATGAAGATGATAATGAAGGTGATCTTCATCGTTTTCATCTTCATCTTCATCTTNAAAACTCAAAATATAATGATTAAACTTGATTTTTATAAGTAAAAATAAAAATCCGTGCCGTGAAGGTTTTCCGAGTAATAAGAAATATATTTGTTTACTCCTTATGCACGTAGCATTTCTCTTTCAGCGTGATTTTGTGAGATGAAATTTCAAAGGATAATCGTAATTTGCGGTCCCTGGTGTATTGGTTGCATATGATGGAATGTTTTCGAAAAAAATTTAGCCGTTACGTAGGGCCGAGCTCGAAATATTTTGAAAGCCTGCATTTATAGACCGATTTTGTTAATATTTGTGGTATGTATTAGATACATATTAATATAATGATATAATTTTATTTCTAATGTCTTCCCAACATTTTTTTGGCAGTTTCTAGCTTTTGCATTAAATAAAGTGTTAAAAAAAACATACAAAAAAAACATAAAAATTGTGTTTCTTCACCTTAAAGTCGTTCGGCTGTCTCGCTTGAATACCATAGACGAATACGCGTAAACTAATTGAGAACGAAGCGTTATGTTCGTACTTGATGCACTTATCTATTAACAGCTTGGTTATTTTTAATGCGATTTTAAAAACCAAACATGTTTTGAAAAGAGGATTTATAGACCTTTAAAATAACATATATTGTTGTTAGACTTATGGCCAATTTCATAATGAAACACTTAAAGTTCCTTTTGCAAAAGTTTCCTTTTAGTTAAAGTGTCATTTAAATGTACTTTAAACAACAACTGTTTTCATAATTCTATGGCAATTGAATAATAACAAAAGGTTCATTTAAATGGCAATAACAAAGTTGGCAATGGTGATCTCGGCAAAATTGAATCAGCTGATTGTCATAAATATGTAATTATAACTACGAAAATGACATATTTTGTTTTACAAAAGGGACCTTTATGTCATTTCAATATCCATTTTTTCTCTTTAACTAAAGAGCCTTTATGGGCACCTTTATCCTTAAAGTGGCTTTATGAAATCGATCAGCAAAATAAATCATCCTTTAAATTTTAAAATATTCTTTAATTTTATTATGAAATCGGCCCTTAGCTTGTGGGGAATTTCCATAAACTTTAATAAGCCCCCATTTTTCGTAATCTTTTCAACTTTGAACATCGCTAATTTAAAAAATTTCTATGAAAGTAGTATTTACCTAAAAGAACATTTATTTTCGAATAAATTGATACCGCACCTAATGCAATTGCATAAAAATGGTCGAAGTTGAGCAATTTAAGCAAAAATACGGCCTTGAATTTATTTGAGTGTATGTGCCGGACGTTCATATTTATTGAGCAGTGTGGCTAAGGAGTTCATCAATATTTTGTCGATAAAATTTTACGAAACTGGGCGTGGCACCGCCCATTTATATCAGTGCCCGCCA